GCATGTATGAGGTCCTGGGTTCAATCCCCAGTATCTCCACAATCTTTTAAAAATTAAATTCAGCAAACCGGTTTCAATTTGGTCCGTAGCTTTACCACATCTGGAATTAAAGGCATTTGTAATCCTACAGAAGCAGAAAATACTTTTTGTACCTAAGTAGTTAAGCTTTTTCAACTGGGGATGTAGCTCAGTGGTAGAGCACATGCTTTGCATGTATGAGGTCCTGGGTTCAATCCCCAGCATCTCCACAAACTTTAAAAAATTTAATTCAGCAAAACTGTTTCAATTTGGTCCTTTAGCATTACCACATCTTGAATTAAAAGCACTTGTAATCCAACAGAAGCGGGAAAAAAGGCGCATGCTTTGTGTGTATGAGGTCCTGGGTTCAATCCCCAACATCTCCACAAACTTTAGAAAATTAAAATCAGCAAAACGGTTTCAATTTGTTCCTGTAGCGTTACCACATCTGGAATTAAAAGCATTTGTAATCCTACAGAAGCAGAAAAAAATAGAAAAAAAGCACATGCTTTGCCTGTATGAGTACCTGAGTTCAATCCCCAGCATCTCCACAGGCTGTAAATTTTAATTTCAGCAAAACGGATTGAATTTGGTCCTGTTGAGTTTCCAACTTCTTGTACCTCAGTAGTTAAGTTCTTTCAACTGGGGATGTAGTTCAGTGGTAGAGCGCATGCTTCGCATGTGTGAGGTCCTGGCTTCAATCCCCAGTATCTCCACAATCTTTTAAAAATTAAATTCAGCAAACCGGTTTCAATTTGGTCCGTAGCTTTACCACATCTGGAATTAATAGCATTGGTACACCTACAGTAGTAGAAAAAACGTGTTGTTCATCAGTGGTAGAAGAGGTCTTTCCACCTGGGGATGTGGCTCAGTGGTAACGTGCATGCTTTGCAGATATGAGGTCTGGGGTTCAATCTCCAGCATCTCCACAGACTCGTCAAATTTAAATTCAACAAAACGGATTCAATTTGGTCCTATAGAGTTTCCACATCTGGAATTAATAGTGTAGTAAACCTACAGTATCAGAAAAAAACGTGTTGTACCTCAGTGGTAGAAAAGCTCTTTCCAACTTGGGTGCATGCATTGCATGTATGAGGTTCTGCAGACACATCTCCCCTACAGAAGCAGAAAAAACTTGATATACATCAGTGGTAGAAAACATCCTTCCTACTGGGAATGTAGCACAGTGAAAGATCAGTGAAATGTAGCACAGTGAAAAGGTCCTGGATTCAATCCCCAGCATCTCCACAGACTTTTAAAATTTAATTTCAGCATGCAAAGCATGCGCTCTACCACTGAGCTACAGCCCCTGTTGAACGAGCTTTACTACTGAGGTACAAGAAGTTTTTTCTGCTACTGTAGGTGTCCTGGCTTCAATCCCCAGTATTAATGCATGTATTAATTAATTTGGTCCTGTTGCGTTACCACATCCGGAATTAATAGCATTGTTTCAGCTACAGTAGTAGAAAAAAGGTCTTTCCACCTGGGGATGTAGCTCAGTGGTAGAGTGCATGCTTTGCACGTATGAGGTCCTGGGTTCAATCTCCAGCATCTCCACAGACTGTTAAAATTTAATTTCAGCAAAACGGATTAACTTTGCTCCTGTTGAGTTTCCACATCTGGAAGTAATAGCGTTGGTACATCTACAGTAGTAGAAAAAACTTCTTGTACCTCAGTAGTAAAGATCTTTCAACAGGGGATGTAGCTCAGTGGTAGAGCGCATGCTTCGTTACCACATCTGGAATTAATAGCATTTGTAAACCTACAGCAGCAGAAAACACTTATTGTACCTCAGTAGTAAAGGTTGTTCAGCTGGGGATGTAGCTCAGTGGTAGAGCTCATGCTTCGCATGTGTGAGGTCCTGGGTTCAATCCCCAGCATCTCCACAGACTTTTAAAATTTAATTTCAGCATGCAAAGCATGCGCTCTACCACTGAGCTACAGCCCCTGTTGAACGAGCTTTACTACTGAGGTACAAGAAGTTTTTTCTGCTACTGTAGGTGTACTAACGCTATTAATTCCAGATGTGGAAACTCAACAGGAGCAGGTAGAAAAGTTCCTTCCAACTGGGAATGTAGCTCAATGGTAGAGAATGTATTTCCAACAGGAGATTTAGCTCAGTGGTTGAGCGCATGCTTTGCATGTATGAGGTCTTGGGTTCAATCCACAGACTGTTAAAATTGAATTTCAGCAAAACGGATTAAATTTGCTCCTGTTGAGTTTCCACATCTGGAATTAATAGCGTTGGTAAACCTACAGTATCAAAAAAACTTGTTGTACCTCAGTGGTAGAACAGGTCCTTCCACTTGGGGATGTAGCTCAGTGGTAGAGTGCATGCTTTGCATGTATGAGGTTCTGGGATGCATTTCCAAACACTGTTCAAATGTAATTTCAGCAAAAAAAATTAATTTGGTCCTGTTGCGTTACCACATCTGGAATTAATAGCATTGTTTCAGCTACAGTAGTAGAAAAAAGGTCTTTCCACCTGGGGATGTAGCTCAGTGGTAGAGTGCATGCTTTGCACGTATGAGGTCCTGGGTTCAATCTCCAGCATCTCCACAGACTGTTAAAATTTAATTTCAGCAAAACGGATTAACTTTGCTCCTGTTGAGTTTCCACATCTGGAAGTAATAGCGTTGGTACATCTACAGTAGTAGAAAAAACTTCTTGTACCTCAGTAGTAAAGATCTTTCAACAGGGGATGTAGCTCAGTGGTAGAGTGCATGCTTTGCACGTATGAGGTCCTGGGTTCAATCTCCAGCATCTCCACAGACTGTTAAAATTTAATTTCAGCAAAACGGATTAACTTTGCTCCTGTTGAGTTTCCACATCTGGAAGTAATAGCGTTGGTACATCTACAGTAGTAGAAAAAACTTCTTGTACCTCAGTAGTAAAGATCTTTCAACAGGGGATGTAGCTCAGTGGTAGAGCGCATGCTTTGCATGTATGAGGTCCTGGGTTCAATCCCCAACATCTCCACAACCTTTTAAAAATTAAATTCAGCAAAACGGTTTCACTTTGGTCCTGTAGCGTTACCACATCTGGAATTAATAGCATTTGTAAACCTACATTAACAGAAAAAACTTCTTGTACCTCAGTAGTAAAGATCTTTCAACAGGGGATGTAGCTCAGTGGTAGAGCGCATGTATGAGGTTCTGGGTTCAATCCCCAACATCTCCACAACCTTTTAAAAATTAAATTCAGCAAAACGGTTTCACTTTGGTCCTGTAGCGTTACCACATCTGGAATTAATAGCATTTGTAAAAAAAAAAAAAAAAAAAAAAAAAAAAGCGCATGCTTTGCATGTATGAGGTCCTGGGTTCAATCCCCAACATCTCCACAACCTTTTAAAAATTAAATTCAGCAAAACGGTTTCAAATTGGTCCAGTAGCATTACCACATCTGTAATTAAAAGCATTTGTAATCCTACAGAAGCAGAAAATACTTTTAAAAAATTAATAAAAAGCGCATTCTTTGCATGTATGAGGTCCTGGGTTCAATCCCCAGCATCGCCACAGACTGTTCAAATTTAATTTCAGCAAAACGGTTTCAATTTGGTCCTGTAGCGTTACCACATCTGGAATTAATAGCATTTGTAAACCTACAGCAGCAGAAAACACTTATTGTACCTCAGTAGTAAAGGTTGTTCAGCTGGGGATGTAGCTCAGTGGTAGAGCTCATGCTTCGCATGTGTGAGGTCCTGGGTTCAATCCCCAGCATCTCCACAGACTGTTAATATGTATTTTCAACAAAACGGATTCAATTTGGTCCTGTTGAGTTTCCACATCTGGAATTAATAGTATTGGTAGTCCTACAGTAGTAGAAAATACTTGTTGTTCATTAGTGGTAGAAAAGGCCCATCCACCTGGGGATGTAGCTAGCATTTGTAAACCTACAGCAGCAGAAAACACTTATTGTACCTCAGTAGTAAAGGTTGTTCAGCTGGGGATGTAGCTCAGTGGTAGAGCTCATGCTTCGCATGTATGAGGTCCTGGGTTCAATCCCCAGCATCTCCACAGACTGTTAATATATATTTTCAACAAAACGGATTCAATTTGGTCCTGTTGAGTTTCCACATCTGGAATTAATAGTATTGGTAGTCCTACAGTAGTAGAAAATACTTGTTGTTCATTAGTGGTAGAAAAGGCCCATCCACCTGGGGATGTAGCTCAGTGGTAGAGCGCATTTTTTTCATGTTTGAGGGCCTGGGTTCAATCCCCAGCGTTTCCACAGACTGATAAAATTTAATTTCAGCAAAACGGTTTCAATTTGGTGCTGTAGCGTTACCACATCTGTAATGAAAAGCATTTGTAAACCTACAGAAGCAGAAAATACTTGAAAAAAAAAAAAAAAAAAAGCACATGCTTTTCATGTATAATGTCCTGGGTTCTATCCCCAGCATCTCCACAGACAGTTAACATTGAATTTCAGCAAAATGGAATCAATTTGCTCCTGTTGAGTTTCCACATCTGGAATTAATAGCGTTAGTACACCTACAGTAGCAGAAAAAACTTCTTGTACCTCAGTAGTAAAGATTGTTCAACAGGGGCTGTAGCTCAGTGGTAGAGCGCATGCTTTGCATGTACGAGGTTCTGGGTTCAATCCCCAGCATCTCCAATAACTAAAAAATTTTAGAGGCTTTTGAAGTTCACATCCTCTTCCAGGTCAGGTTTGTTGTGTGCACCAAAGTAGGCTTGTCGGAGTCAGTTGTAGTAGGCTTGTGGAGTCTCTTGTCTACCTTGTTTGATCTCCAAGGCAGTTCATGTTCAGACTCAGGGTCTGTAAACTCTTTAATCAGGACCTCACAAAGTAGCTGGTAGTTTGATTTTGTTTGACTGGGCTGTCGATCTAGGACGTTTCGTACCTCAGGACTTGACGTAGCTCTTAGGAGGTATAACCTGTCTCTTGTCAGTCACATGAGGTCTCATTTCCAGATGGAACTCAATATCTTGCAGGTAGGCCTGGATGTCGTGGCCCTCTGTGGAGTTCGGGTTGAACTTGCTGATGTTTTTAGACAGCTTCCTGCGGTCTTTGATGGTCATCCCATGTGCAGCTCCAAGGTCTGCTTGGATGGGTGGTTTTCTTTCGTTTCTTTTCGTTCTTTCGGCAGAAAAGGGTTGTGTGGCAAAGGCAGGTGAGATTTTGGATTGAGGCCCTTCGCTTCTTTCGTTGTATGCCAGTTCTTGGACGTGGGACTCTGCTCTGCTCAGCAGTAGTGAGGCTGAGAGATGTTTCTCCTTTCTTGGCTCTTGTTTCACCTCATAAGCATATTTGAGTTATTTTCTGACCATGTAGAGCTCATCGTTAGTATCGTCTAGTTGTTGGGTCAGATTGTCCATTTCAGTTCTGTACCTTTCAAGGTGGTCTTTCAAGGTACTGATTTCAGCATTATTGTCTTTGATGTCATTCTTGGCTTTCTCTAGTAGCTGTTCGGCATACTGGCATCTGTTTACCAGGTCTTTCTGGGCAGCCTTTGCATGTTGTTGGTCGAGCTGAGCTGGTGCCAGGGCTGCTTGGAGCTTCTTAACTTGTTATGTTGTTTCCTGCTCCCTCTTGTTGGGTGCTTTGAGTTGATCTTGAACTTTCATTTCCAGCTTGTCTATGCAGCGTTGAGCACGTGTCAGATCCTCTTGAAGGTGGGTGATGTGCTTGTCGCTCAGTTTCGTCTGGGTTGTGAAGGCATAGCTTAGGGAGCTGGTGATCTTGACTAGCTCCTTGTGGTTGTTGTTCTGGCTTGAATCTTGTGTCAGGAATCTTCTCAGGATTAGCATTATTATTAAAAATAATAACAGTTCAAATGTCTTGGGGGTGAGGCTGTCTGTCATGCCTCTCAGCCAAGTGTTCACATCTTCCCCATGGGCAATGGGGTCTGCAGTCTGCGGCATGTTGGCACGCTGGGGAGAAGAGAGACTGACACAGATCTGTGTGGAGTAGAAGCCTTTGTGTGGTGGGACAACTAAGTGTTGTGTCAGTGATTGTGAACCACTAATGAAGTGTGGTGATGACTGTTTTGGTCTCAAGGTGTCTAAGTAGACTAGGGATACGAAGACTTCGTCACTCTAATGAGGAAGAGAGAAAAAAAGAGAAAAAGGTGAAAACAATTCAATGAAAAGAAACAATTCCTTTTTCAGTTAGAGAAAAAAAAATTTGTTCAATTAAATGTTGTTATCAAGAAGGTAAACAGTATTGTTATATCTCTGTTTGAGACAAAAGAATACAATAATAATGCTGATATCTCTCGCTCACCAGGGAGGCTGTGAGCACACATGTGATGAGTAAAGAGGGAAGGAAGCATGAGAGAACAGGAGAGACTTGAGAGAAGGGAAGGAGACTCAGTAAACTGAGTGGATTGGGTCCACCAGTAGGCAGTAGTTGCTGTTATGCCCAACTACGAGTAGAGCGTTGTTTTTAGTTTCTGCACAACTAATCAAACAAAAATAAAATTTAAGTGAAAGAGAGTTGTCTCTCTAATGTATTTAAACTCGTAGTGGGGGATAAAACTGTCTCTAAGGGCTCAAGTGTGTCATTCCCAAGCTAGGATACACAGAGGAAAGGAAATGGTAAGACAAAGTAAAATTGAAAGAGTAATAAATGGGCAAAATAAGCAAAGATTAAATTAAATAAAGAAGGAAATCAATAAGTTAAACAATAGTGGCTAAGTGTATAACCAAAACAGGAAGAAAGAGTGGTAAAACGCAATAAAACGATGAGTAAGTGTGAGTCTGTATAGAATCTATTGATATGGGTAATAAATCAATTAGGCAGAATAAGTTTACTTAAACTTTCAAAGTTCAAGGCTTATTTGTACCTAAAATGATTAGGCCCAAAAGAGAATACTAGAAGTAATGATCATATGAAATGATCTGAGGGGGAAATTTGAATGATTCCAAATAAATTTAATGTTTTAATTAAATTTGAATTTGGCACAATTAATAATTGTGAGTCAGCATTTCCCTTTCTAGCAAAATGCAGATAAAGTGGTAAGAAGTGAGAACAGGGAGAAATAAGAAAGAGACCAAAGTATATTAGTTGAGGTGTTTAAAGGATTAAATCACTTTAGTGTTGCCCAAACAGACACTGCATTCAACCACTGGATGTTAATGCTAACTGCTAACCTTTGAGACTAATGGCTTTAGCATAGACTTCAATGTAAACACAACCGTTTTATTAGCTTAGCAGCACCGTGGAGTTTGTTTACAAAAGCTTTGATGTGCGCAGTTCAGAGTTTCTCCGGAAGTAGGTTAAGACTTCCGTGTCACGATCGTAACTATGACAACCAAAACAAACTCTAGTGGACAAGCACATGAATGGTTGCATTGCGAGTATAGTTAAGCGTGTAACATGAAATGTCGACGTATTTCAACACTGTACAAATAACAAACACCACTTTAGATGTTTTGAGGTGTGGCGCTTTAACTCTCAGTTCGTTTGGAGTTAAATTTAATTTTTATTCAAATAGCAGCTTCGTGCTGCGGTTGTGGAAAACAGTGATAGCGATCTTGGCGGATCTGAAATCTCTGTGCCAGTTTCTCTGGACACGTAAACACGACAGGTTTTCTTCGCTGTTGGTACAAAGTTCAAATTTACTTGATCAAGCTTTTAAAACACTCCCATTCAAGTCACGCTCGGACACACGCAGTGTTAAGCGAGATTAAATTCACTTTGTGAACAGACACCAACAGACAAGCATTATTCTCTAATGTTTAACCCAGGGAGTCGAATAGCATAGTTGATTGCACGCACTGGCAATCAAGCTATGAATAAGGCTTTGATAAATAGATTGAGGAACACGCTCAAAACGTCTTTATCCACCGATTTATTTCCCTTTTAATTACTGCAGTTTAGTTCCGTTCAGCTAACGGTGACTGAGATTCCCTGTCGGGAGTATAGCTATTGAATGGCACTGGAACACGCAATGACATCAGTTCAGCTATAAACAAGACATTACAGAAAAATGAGGAACACGCTCAATTTTGACCTTGTTGTACGATCTCAGATGTTAACTTTAAGTTCCCTTACTGCAGTTTAACAATGGAGAGGCGGACTCGAGTTACAGCCTTCTCTGCATTCATTCATCAAGCGTTCATTCATTCAAGTGGCCACGCGCTGCTTACGTCACACACACAGTCTCAACTCAGAAGCATCTAATTTTTCATCCGCAGCAATAGAAAAGATGAAATAACTTGGTTTATGCTCACAATTTAGATTAAACTTCCTGCATTCTCCACCAATATATGTAAGGGAAACAGGTCAATTTAGCATAAAGGGAATAGTTTATGTTACCTGCCACGGTGTTTTCCTCTTTGAGTGTGTCTTAAAAGCAATGAGGAGGTGCGGAGGGGAGCTGAATCTTATCACTCAGCATACCCGGTTAAAAAAGTCACAGATCGCCACTGGTATACAGTACTGTTATAAATATGATTGTGCCAAAAGTAATAAACTAATAAAATGTAAGAACAATATAACAACATACTTAAGAAATATTATATGCTTTCCATCATCTAAATAACCATAGAGTTTTGAAAGAATGGTAAAAACATTTTCATTGATAAAAAATGATGCATATATATCAGTAAAAGTTAAGCAGACTTTTTTACATTTTACAATCCTGCATGGAGTCAACATGGCATTCTAAAGTAAAAAAAAACTAACAAAAAATGGAAGAAAAAGACAAAAGACAAATAAGGCAAGAACATACCACAGTGGTTTCAGCATGTAACAGACATCCATAACAAACAAGATACAGAGTTATATTTTTTATGATACAATAATTACAATATATACATTCAAAACCAGGAAACATGAGGGCAGTCACTTTCCCTTTTCTGCTGCCCATCTCTTCTGTTCAGCCTCATAAAAGGAATACTGACAGAACTCTCCCCAAGTCATCTCGTGAGTCATCCCCTCTGTCCGATATAGGGAGAACACTCTGGCAGGACAATTGACATATTTCCCTGCCACACCATGGAACCCAGTATGTGTGTGTGGACTCTCTGGGCCTTGTTTGAGTGGCTTGTGGCAGAACCTACAGAGGCGACCAGTGGGATGCTGCTCCATGGCCTTTCTCTTTCTCCGCTCCTCCATTAACTGTCTTACCTCTGCAGAACGCTGCTTCTGTAGCTCTCTTTTTTTAAAAAAAGGTGTTTCAGCAAAGTCAGCAAACGGCATTCGAGGATTGGTCAGGCCTTCCGCTGCATACATATGGTATACCTTTGTAGAGCAGTAAAAGTACTTCACATTCCCAGACTGATAAAAAAAAATGAATGGAGGAGCCATCACCAAGGTAACGTGACTTTGGCTGGCCACAAGCAAGACAGTTCCGTGTCCTCTTTGCAACAGGCTGCTCTTGCTGTTGCTGCTGCTTCTCCACAATCTCTTTCACCATTTGTTCAATCTCACCCTTAGTTAGTGGTAACTCCTAGGGCTTATTACTGGGTAGGTTCACTGGGGCAGGTGGGAGGGTTAAGGTTCAGGGTTCAGAGAAACTCCTGGGTCTCCAGGGATGAACTTGTGCTCTTGGCCAGGTGTTTCACATAACGTGAGATATGCTGTTTCGTGGTGGGATGTAAGAGGCTATTGGGATCCCTGGAGGCAGCCTGCACAAGGGCAGCATACTCCACATCCACCTGGGTGAGAAGGTATTTCTGCACATGGTACTTTGCCAGAAGGCCATCAATGGAATCCCTCATGGGCTGTGTCCACCGAAAATGGTCCAGGACAAAAAGCAGACCGCCTGAGAAATGGGACCTGTGCGAGCAGCTCGTGGAGAGGGAGCAAAGGGCAGAGGTGGTTTCATCTCATCTAAAGGAGAGGAAAAAGGACAGAAAAGAATAAATCATTTTCACTTTTATCTCTGAAATATCTGTAGTATTAATATAAATAAGTAATAATTAAGGGATGAAGATGTGAGCTGAATTACCTTTTACTTTGGTGGGCTGTGCAGGCTGGATCATTGTTTGTGAGCCAAAAGAAGCCACACCAAATATGTCATCCTGGAGCATAGGGTAATTCATTTAGGTTAAAATCAGTGATTACATAGTTACACTACCAGTCAAAAGTTTTTGGACGGTAAGATTTTTAAACATCTTTAAAAGAAGTCTCTTTTGCTCACAAAGGCTTCATTTATTTGATCCAAAATACAGCAAAAACAGTAATATTGTGAAATATTTTTACAATTTAATATAACTGTTTTCTATTTGAATATATTTTAAAATGAAATTAATTTTTGTGTTGTCAAAGCTTTAATTAATCTTAAAACATTTTTAAAATCTTACCGTCCAAAAACTTTTGACCGGTAGTGTACATTTTGTGTTTCAGTGAGTGAGAATATTTGTAAGTACAACAGTCAAGTTTACCTGAGCAAAGTGTTCCTACCACCTCAGGTAGGTCATCAGGTGGGAATCTCTCACTGAGAGCAGATGGCTCTGAGGACTGATGCTCTCCCTCCCCTGCAACAGGTACCTTCTGGGACTTGTGCTTGTCCCAGTCCAGGAGGACAGGATGACAACCAGGCTCCACATACTGCAGTCCAAACCTTTCTTTGGTGTCTGTCTGTGAAACAAGTAAGGCAGGGTACTTGGCCTGGCCTGTCACCACGTCTGAGAGCTTGTTCAGTTCCATAATCAGCACAGGATCAAAAACTGCAGGCAGCTTCACTCCAGGCTGCTTCAGGTCCACAAGGCGCTGGAAATTCCAGTGAGCCACTCCAATCATGCCCTGCACTTGGAAAAGTTCTGTGGATGCCTGAGTGCCTGTGACCCATCTCGCCTGATGGAAATGGAACCCCTCCTGCTGAGAGGTGCCTCTCACAGGGATCCACATGGGTACTTCACACCTTCACACGGTTCAGCTGGACGGTTCCACAATACCTATAGAGCATCCCCTCTGCAACCTCTGGGTCACTAAGGCAGCCTCTGAGGATGTGGACTCGCTGAATCCTCCACACCTTCAACATCGATGGTTTGAACAATGGCACACCATCAGGATCGCATTCTAAAAAGAATCTTTGGAGAACGCTCTCCACTCTCTCCAGCAGCTCTTTGGGGTGTGGGACCCTGGTGCGGCAGTGCTCCCTGATGTGCTGCTTTGTTGGATTTGCAGGCACTATCCCACAGAAAACATAAGCCTGCTTCAGTCTCTGTAGGTCCGTCTGGTCCACAACACTAAAAGCTGCTGACAGAAACTTGCAGAAAGCACTGTGCAGTGGATGGTGCTCTGACACACACTCTCTGGAGAACCGCCGCATGCAATGGAACAAGTCCAGCTTGATGTTGATGTCACTGTTATATTCTTTGCGGGAGGCACAGGTGTTGATGAGATGCCCAGAGGTTGCCGCAGCCACTATAGCCTCAGTGGTCTTCCAAGAATCCCAGAGGAGGTGCTCCTGGGGCTCAGGGTTTGGGATCCTGAAGGCAGCACAGCAATCTCTGTTCCACACACAAAGAGAAGTATATTTAAAATATTAAACATTCAAATACATAGGATACATATATTTGCTATACTATATTTTCATTACTTTACAAATATAATATAGGTGGGAAGGAAAATGTGACGGCTGGTTCTTACCTGTCAACCCATTGGTAGTTGGCTTTTGGCAGTCCTGCAAATATGTACCGACGAGACAGCCCCTCATACATTGGCTGCAGCGATTTATCACTTTCAGACTGCAGCATCACCCAGGACAAGATCATCCAGTTTTCATTCATCACAGCGTAGGATGACATAGTACCTGATGCAAGCACAACCTTCCGGGCCACCTTGCGGGTATGGTCAGCCCTTAATGCTTGTCCAAACGTGCCTTGGAGGAGCAGATTGAGTGTGCTCTCCTGCCTATGGTACTCCTGAATGAGGCAGTCAACCAAATAGTGGGGTGAGACTGTTACTCCGCACCAGCCAACCACATCACCATACTCACCAAATGGAGCAGGAGTATTTGTTGCTCTTAGTGCCCCTGTGATGGTCTGCTGACCATAAAGTCCACCGTCTCCATCCAGCACATTCTTAACAGTGGACAGGTAAGCCAGGTGTGCACAGAAAAGAATAAATCATTTTCACTTTTATCTCTGAAATATCTGTAGTATTAATATAAATAAGTAATAATTAAGGGATGAAGATGTGAGCTGAATTACCTTTTACTTTGGTGGGCTGTGCAGGCTGGATCATTGTTTGTGAGCCAAAAGAAGCCACACCAAATATGTCATCCTGGAGCATAGGGTAATTCATTTAGGTTAAAATCAGTGATTACATAGTTACACTACCAGTCAAAAGTTTTTGGACGGTAAGATTTTTAAACATCTTTAAAAGAAGTCTCTTTTGCTCACAAAGGCTTCATTTATTTGATCCAAAATACAGCAAAAACAGTAATATTGTGAAATATTTTTACAATTTAATATAACTGTTTTCTATTTGAATATATTTTAAAATGAAATTAATTTTTGTGTTGTCAAAGCTTTAATTAATCTTAAAACATTTTTAAAATCTTACCGTCCAAAAACTTTTGACCGGTAGTGTACATTTTGTGTTTCAGTGAGTGAGAATATTTGTAAGTACAACAGTCAAGTTTACCTGAGCAAAGTGTTCCTACCACCTCAGGTAGGTCATCAGGTGGGAATCTCTCACTGAGAGCAGATGGCTCTGAGGACTGATGCTCTCCCTCCCCTGCAACAGGTACCTTCTGGGACTTGTGCTTGTCCCAGTCCAGGAGGACAGGATGACAACCAGGCTCCACATACTGCAGTCCAAACCTTTCTCTGGTGTCTGTCTGTGAGACAAGTAAGGCAGGATACTTGGCCTGGCCTGTCACCACGCCTGAGAGCTTGTTCAGTTCCATGATTAGCACAGGATAAAAAACTGCAGGAAGCTTAACTCCAGGCTGCTTCAGGTCCACAAGGCACTGGAAATTCTAGCGAACCAATCCAATCATGCCCTGCACCTGGCAAAGTTCTGTGGATACCTGAGTGCCTGTGACCCATCTCGCCTGATGGAAATGGAACCCTTCCTGCTGAGAGGTGCCTCTCACAGGGATCCACATGGGTACTTCACACCTTCACACGGTTCAGCTGGACGGTTCCACAATACCTATAGAGCATCCCCTCTGCAACCTCTGGGTCACTAAGGCAGCCTCTGAGGATGTGGACTCGCTGAATCCTCCACACCTTCAACATCAATGGTTTGAACAGTGGCACACCATCAGGATCGCATTCTAAAAAGAATCTTTGGAGAATGCTCTCCACTCTCTCTAGCAGCTCTTTGGGGTGTGGGACCCTGGTGCTTTGTTGGATTTGCAGGCACTATCCCACAGAAGACATAGACATAAGCCTGAGATTTATCATTATTATGAATCTCAGACTATCAACTTATCTGTTTGCTGATAAGCATCAACAGTAGAAAACTCTGGATGGCCTGTGAGTGAATTTCATCAAATATATTCTTAATGGTAGTTGGTTTTGGGAGTCCTGCAAAAACGTAACGATGAGACAGCCCATCATACATTGGCTGCAGGGATTTATCACTTTCAGACTGCAGCATCACCCAGGACAAGATCATCCAGTTTTCATTCATCACAGCATAGGACGACATAGTACCTGATGCAAGCACAACCTTCCGGGCCACCTTGCGGGCATGGTCAGCCTTTAAGGCTTGTCCAAACGTGCCTTGGAGGAGTAGATTGAGAGTGCTCTCCTGCCTATGGTACTCCTGAATGAGGCAGTCAACCAAGTAGTGGGGTGAGACTGTTACTCTGCACCAGCCGACCACATCACCATACTCACCAAATGGAGCAGGAGTATTTGTTGCTCTTAGTGCCCCTGTGATGGTCTGCTGACCATAAAGTCCACTGTCTCCATCCAGCACATTCTTAACAGACAGGTAAGCCAGGTGTGCACGCTCATACCTGAGGTGGAGAGCTTCATTCAACTGATTGGCCATATCATTGGGAGACTTTACTGTGCGCCGCAACTCATCCATCACAGTCTTACATATGGCCTTCTTGTGAGTCAGAAAAGCTGGCAAAATGTTGCAGAGCCGACTTGGCAGCATGTCCATCCATTGGGGTTTGTCTGCAAACCAGTTCTTTTTACAGACTTTACAGCTGAGCCGAGAGGCCAGTATGTAGTACTGGCTGCTTGTACCAACAATGACATGGGGTCGTCCAACTCCTGATGAGACAACGTTGGGATTCAGACAGCTGTACAGACATTGCAGAGTGTAGTTGTTGCGGACTGTTTCCATAATGGTGTGCTCTGGTTTCCAAGTTGAAAGTATTTCGGTGATGGCAGCTCATAGACAGCATCAATAAGCTCAGGCTGAGGTGGGTAACGCCACAAGGAGATCATGTTCATTGGATGTCTCACCGGTCTAGACCCTGGCCACAGTCCCAAGGCTTCCATTTCTGTTTTCATCCAGATTCTCTGCTATTGAGAGCAGTGCCATCAGCTCATATCCTGCTCATAGCTTGGCAGTGGTGGAACAGTATGCTTCTCCTCCAACTGAGTTGAGGGGTACCCAGTAGAGGCTGCAGGGAGTCCCGAGAAAGACTGGCAAGCAGCTGCAAGGGGTCCTGAGGGAGGAGTAGAGGCTGTAGACTGTACAGAGGACACTGGGAGGAGGGCTGCAGGATGACATGGGTGACATTAGTCATATATGAGCATTACATTTGTTAAATATGTTAAATCTGTTTTAAATGAGATTAAGTAAAATTATGTTACATTAAGTCCTTACACAGACAGAACACGGTTTCCTGCACTGGTCTCAAAGGCGATGTGGTCTTGCTTGTAGATAATTCAAGCAACTCTGGAAGTAAAAGGAACCCTCACTGGAGTGAAGGGAATTGGTGAAAAACAATAACATTGATCAGGAACAGGAACAGGTATATCCTTACAGTAGAGTCGGTATGTGTACACGTCCATATACCAACCTGGCCATGGAGATGCATCATTCTAGTCCAAATTAATACATATTTGTACTTTTGCTGTACTTCTGCATTTTGGAGATGTACATCTTTTACTTTTTAACTGTAGATCATGTACATACCAAACCTTTAAAGTACAGCATGCAAAAAACATGCAAAACAAGAACTCTGTACTTACCCTCAATGATGAGATATAAATGCCTTCAATGTTAGTAGAACAATTGAACATGAGAATTAGAACAGGCCTGAACGTGGCCTAACCAACAAACAGCAAAAAATCAATGTAGAACAGATAATCCTGATTCATGTCAGAATCATCCCTAGTATGCAGTAGGAATAAGACCTTTGACCATTGGGACTCCAACAACTTCTGAACCTGAACTTTCAAGCATTTATAACATAAACAGACAGAATGACATATAAAAGCTTTTACTGTTAATATAACAATTTAGGGTCTTTAGAACAGGCCTGATCACGCCTAATAAACAAACAGTGATTTGTCAGTGTGTTGGATGGATAATCCCGATTGATGTCAGAATCATCCTCAATGTGCAGTCAGAGTAGGACCTTTGGCCACATGGACTCCAACAACTTGTGAACCTGAGTGCACAGCGTAGAAACAATGTAACATCCCAAACATTTACCATCTTAAATAACGCTGAATAAAAATGTGTAAGGATAACGACCCGTCGGCCCAACGACAGAATCCAACGGCCTGGGCAAAGGTATAATGCGTGTATGTCTTTTCAGCGCCCCTGTGAAGTTCACTTAGTTTTTAGAATTTAGTTTCAGTTTTACTTTAGCTGCGCACTTAATCTGACTCCAATTTCAAATGGTTATTACATTTAGATTGTTTCTAATTAGGAATTAATCCTAACTATTGGTTATGTATTAATTTAGATATTTGATTATTCTGGGTATCCCATATTTTCAGTTATTCGTTCATTAGGGACCCGATGTAGCAAATAGAGAACTGAAGTGTATGTGTGTTTGAGCATGTATGTGCATGTATGTGGTTCTCACTCAATTGGCCTGGAATTTTAGATGAATATGTGGGTAGCATCATCCTCCCCAATTCTTCACCCTCCTCCACTTCTATGAAAAAAGAACAAGACTGTTGTTTATTCAGGGAAAATTGACTGAGCATTAAGTTCTTTTACAGCAATACCCTGAGTTCACATTCAAATGGGTGTACTTTCAGAAAAAGATGGATATAGCAACCACAATAAATAGTGTGAGTGTGTGTGCGTGTTTGTGCGTGTGTACCTGGTATTTATCACGTTATGGGGCCCAAATGTCCCCACAAGGATAGTAATACCACTAAATTTGGACCGTGTGGGGACATTTTTGAGGTCCCTATGAGGAAACAAGCTTATGAATCATACAGAATAAAGTTTTTTGAAAATCAAAAAATGCAGAAAGTTTCCTGTGAGGGCTAAATTAAGGTGAAGGGTTGGTGTAGGGCGATAGAAAATACAGTTTGTACAGTATAAAAACCATTACGCTGTTTATGTTTAATGTCCCCATAAAACATGGAAACACAACATGTGTTTTATATATATATATATATAAAGCATATATATTTTACATTTACATTTAGATATAAGATTAACATTTAGGATATGTTTAGGATTTGGATTTAACTTTTACATTTACATTTACATTTAGATTTAACATTTAAATATAACATTCAGATTTATTTGTATATTTAACATTTAGATTTAACATTTAAATTTAAAATGAAGCTTTAGATTTATATAAAACATTTAGATTTACCTTTAATATTTTATTTTAATATAGTCATATAGTAATAAAATAATGCATAAAGCTTATTTAGGTAAATCTTGCAAAAATTAATTTGTTTTGTAGTTAAATCTGACCATTTTTCTTTTTACAAACGGCGCATCATATTTATTACAATCTATACTAGTTCAAGTATTTGTATCATGGGAAAAAATCGATTATGTCTTTTTTAAAAAAGAAAAATGAAAGAAAAGGTTACAGGGTACAAGCTTGAAAATGATTTTATGTTACAATTATATATACTGTATATATATTGATTTATTTATTTATTATTATTTTCTTTTAATAAATTATATTATGAGCATAACAAT